CTTTGTTTATAATTAACACTTGAGATTAAGATTACTGTAAACAAGGAATTGTATTCACAAAGAGCCAAAGGAGGTTACCTAATCGCCGAGTTAGGATCTCGAGTTGGATCTCGAGTTGGATTTCGAGTTGGATCTCGAGTTGGATCTCGAGTTGGATTTTTAGCAGGATTCTGAGTTTTCTATAAAACACGGTATTTAAAAAAAAAAATTAACTAAGACTAGTGATCTGCACTATGGAGAACTGAATAGTTGCAAACTTTTTTATCACCTCTTAACGGAGGGCTTCTTCAGGGAATAATTTGTGACTAGTAATTACTTAACATTTAAAACTTGCTTTAAATTAAACTTCCTTTTGGGATGTGAATAACAACGTCGTGACTAAAGTTATTGTGATTTCGAAATAGCTTTTAGGGCCATGCATGCTATTAATCTTTAAAAACTTTTGAAAATGACTTAAACTTGCTCAAACGTTAAACTTCAGCCATCTTATATGTGCTTTATCTATCAACAACTAATTTTTGAAGTTTGGCAGCATCAGTCCCAGTCTGTTTCACAAAAGTTTGTTTATACATGTATATATTTATAATTATTATAATTTTGATACATTCAACATCACTAACTTGTTACTGACTGATTGTTTGATTCCAAACGTCTCCATTTGGAATGGCTATAATAAATGGACAACTCTATTGTTTTCTGAGATTTGATCAGTTCATAAGAGTACAGACCATAAAAAACACCTTCAATTGAGGGTCCTGACTACTTAGAGGACTGTTTGTATTATTGTGAAACGAACGTTGACGTGCTGTACTGAACTTGTCGTAATATATATATTGACAACAACATTCGGAAAAGCTGCCGTGTTTTGATTGTCAAACAAAAAACTCTCTTTAATTTTCGTTTGTGCCGTGCCATGTTGTTTGCACACTCATGCTAACATGAATAGGAATTCAACTGGAATTAACATTGATTTCACACTATATTGTTGTTATTTTTACCACAAAAAATGGTGTCAAAAACGTCACCTCAACTATTCTCAAATGTCTCTGGACCACTAACAAAATGACAACCAAAATTGAGCGAAATTAAATAAAATATTAAATAAAATATTAATTAAAATAAATTAAATATTACACTCGTATCTAACCAAACAATATATGCAACAGAAGAGAATTTTATAACCTTGAACTATCCACTTACTATACGACCAACAGTAAACTTAGGACAAAAAAAAGCGAAAAATCTGAATAGCACATATCGATAACTGCTACGCACTGTATTACACCATGTCCTCTTAACTGGACTGGGCACGTTAAGTTCCACGTAGTGGTTCTCATCGAAGAATAAGAATACAAAAAGAAAAGTGCATAGTCCCGAGCTCATTTTTGAGATTATTAACTTTGAATGAGACCATGTTGTGACGTTTTCTAACAAACAATTGCGAAAAATTCGTTTTTCTCAATGACTCTCATGACTCAATTATTATTGAAGATATACCAATTTTAAAAAAAATCCAACCTTGAAATCCAACTTGAGATCCAACTTGAGATCCAACTCGAAATCCAACTTGAAATCCAACTTGAGACCCAACTCGAAATCCAACTCGAGATCCAACTTGAGATCCAACTCGAGATCCAACTCGAAATCCAACTCAAAATCCAACTCGARATCCAACTCGAGATCCAACTCGAAATCCAACTCAAAATCCAACTCGAGATCCTAACTCTGGGTTTAGTTTATCTCAAGCCAAAGGAAGGCAAATTACTAGATATCTATCTCATCAAAGAGTAATCTCAGCTTAGGATGATGATATTCATTTCTATTGTTCAGACCAACATTTCCATTTGATGAAGAGGCTCCTCCTCCATTACCTCCAAAGACCATCAAAACAGGTGTTCTTGTAGACATA